TCACATCGCTAACCTTCCCGTTGTTCTATCTGACAGTTCTCGGACATGGAAGCGGACGAGGATGAGTACACGGACATGGAAGAGTCTATGATCCGCTACCTAGACGTTGTTCACATCTAACACTGCGTTGTTTCCATCTAACCTTCCCGTTGTTCTATCTGACAGTTCTCGGACATGGAAGCGGACGAGGATGAGTACACGGACATGGAAGAGTCTATGATCTGCTACCTAGACGTTGTTCCCATCTAACCTTCCCGTTGTTCTATCTGACAGTTCTCGGACATGGAAGCGGACGAGGATGAGTACACGGACATGGAAGAGTCTATGATCCGCTACCTAGACGTTGTTCACATCTAACACTGCGTTGTTCACATCGCTAACCTTCCCGTTGTTCTATCTGACAGTTCTCGGACATGGAAGCGGATGAGGATGAGTACACGGACATGGAAGAGTCTATGATCCGCTACCTAGACGTTGTTCACATCTAACCTTCACGTTGTTCACATCGCTAACCTTCCCGTTGTTCTATCTGACAGTTCTCGGACATGGAAGCGGACGAGGATGAGTACACGGACATGGAAGAGTCTATGATCCGCTACCTAGATGTTGTTCACATCTAACCTTCACGTTGTTCACATCTAACCTTCCCGTTGTTCTATCTGACAGTTCTCGGACATGGAAGCGGACGAGGATGAGTACACGGACATGGAAGAGTCTATGATCCGCTACCTAGACGTTGTTCACATCTAACCTTCCCGTTGTTCTATCTGACAGTTCTCGGACATGGAAGCGGACGAGGATGAGTACACGGACATGGAAGAGTCTATGATCCGCTACCTAGACGGGGACGACGACCTTTACATCCACCCGGACTCCGTCTATCCGGACGTGTTGTTCGGGGGAGACGTCGACGCGGGGATACGCAGCTTCCAGCAGCACGTCGGCCTCGACGACGGCAACGCTAACGAGTCCGGAGGTGAGCAGACGCGAGGGATGCGGCGTCGTCACGGCGACGCGAACGGTGATGCGGTTGTCATGGCGACGTAAGCGTGCCGTTGTTTACGACGACGCGAGAGTGAAGGTGTTGGTGCAGAGTGTGCGGTTGCCGTGGCGACAGCTGGACGTATTTCTACTACTTCACTTTTTGTATTTACGATGCGTTTCTTATGTGTACGTTCTGAGGTTTGTGCGTGAACCGTAGTGTACATAGGTTCTATGGTGATGTCTAGCTAGGCATCAGGTGAGGCATGTTCACTACTCACTAGTTTTAGTTGGATCGGTGATCGGTGTTTTTACGTGAGCGTGATGTGACGTGAAATCGCCACGTTTTTCCTTCGTCTGTTATTTCTCCTCTTTTTTTATTCGTTCTTTCTTCTTTTGTTGTCGTCGTCTGCAGGTATCTTCATGCCGGCGCAACCAGGGGGCGTGAGCGCGGCGCATCCGCTGCTCGTCCACCACGCCGACACGCACGCGTCCTCGCACGGCCACCAGGGGGCGACGCGTCTGCACCGGACGGGCGGTCGTCGGCAGGCGTACCGCATCGTCAGCCCCACCGTTCACGTGCACTACGCGCGACACCCGAACCCGCCCGCCATCCTGCAGAGGTGAGAGGGCGCCACCGTGCGGCAGGGGGCGCCACCGTGCGGCACAGGGGGCGCCACCACCTGCGCGCGATTGTCGCGCGTCTGTGTCGGTGAACCGTTGTCAGTTTTAGGGAGTGGGTGGTTGCAGCGTTGATTCTCCCTCGTTAATCCGGCGTTAATTGGTATAAATTAATTGATTGTGGGGTAATTACATCGCGGTCGTTTCCGTTTGCTTCGTTCGATGGAGCGTGGGTTTAATTAATCGTAATTAATTAACTTTAACGAACAAATCTTAGCTGAACATTGATTAAACTTTGATTGAACTAATTAATTTTAACTGATCAAGCGGCATGAATTAATCTTGAATTGATCGAGTGTCGCAAATCGATTTGAACAAATTAAGGATCGGGAATTTATTGAACTAATTGAGCGTCACAAATTTAAAATCTAAGTTCCAAATCTAATCTTAAAAACAAATCATTCTTTTAAATTAAAAAATAATTACAAAAATCTTCGCTAATCTTTAAAATTTCCAATCTCAGCTTATTGTTCTCAGTTGATTAAATCTCCCATCCTCCCACCCTCGCCCGCTGCCGCAGGTTCTTGGGTCCGAGCACGGCGCACGACATCCTGCAGCTGACGTCGGTGACGACGCCAGGTGGCGCCACCACGCGGCTGCTCGTGCCGAGCGACGACGTGCACATCCTGACGCACCACGACGACGCGGCGGCAGCACTGTACGACGGCGACGGAGAGCTGTTCACAGGGGGCGCCGCGCTCGGCACGGTGGCGTCTGCCCTCGCTCGCTGGACGGAGGAGTGCCGCGTGCTGGACGGGGAAAGCATGCACGACTGTGTTACCGGTACGTAGAGGAGGGAGGAGGAGGAGGAGGAGGAGGGAGGAGGAGGAGGAGGAGGAGGAGGAGGGAGAGATGCACGGAGATTGCCTCGTGCTGGAAGCGGGAAGCAGCATCGCACGACTGTGTTACCGTACGTAAGGAGGGAGGAGGAGGAGGTAGGTAGGAGGAATGAGGAGAGGAAGGCAGGAGGAGGAGGAGGAGGAGAGGGAGGAGAGGAGGAGAGGAGGAGGAGGTCAGGAGAGGAGGAGGAGATGCAGGAGGAAGGAGGGAGAGAATGGAGACGCGTTGGGAGGAGTGCGCGTGCTGGAGCGGGGAAAGCATGCATTACGTTGTGTATCCGGTACGTAGAAGGAGAGAGGAGGAGAAGGAAGAGGAGGAGGAGGAGGGGAGATGGATAAGGAGAAGGCAGGAGGAGGAGGAGGAAGGGAGATGAGGGAGAGATCTGACGAGGAGTGCCGCGATGCTTCTGGACGGGAGAAACAATGCAGACTGTGTAGACCGGTACGTAGAGGAGGTAGGAGGAGTGAGGAGGAAGTAGGGAAGGGAAGGATGGGAGGAGAGGAGGAGAAGGAGGAGGAGAGGAGGAGGAGGGAGAGATCGGATGCGGTAGGATGCCGCGTGCTGGAACGCGTGAAAAGCAATGACACGACTGTGTTTACCAGGTACGTAATAGAGGAGAGGAAGCGAGGAGGAGGACGAAGGAGAGGAGGAGGAGTGGAGAAGGGAGGAGGAGACAGGAGGAGGGAGGAGGAAGAGTGGACGAGGATTCCCCGTTGCTGTGACGGGGAAAGCATACGCACGAACGTGTTTTACCGAATGACGTAGACGAGGGAAGAGGAGGAGGAGGAGGGACTGGGGAGGAGAGGAGGAGGAGAGAAGGAGAGCGAGGAAGGAGGGGAGAGCGAGGAGGAGGGAGAGAATTTGACCGGAGGAGTGTCGCGTGCTGGCACGGGGAAGAAGCATGCCACGACTGTTTACCGGGGACGGCTAGAGGATGGAGAGGAGGAGGAGGAGAGGAGGAAGATGGGAGGAAGCGAGAAGGAGGAGAGGAAGGAGGATGAGGTAGAGGAGGACGGAGGGGAAAGATAGGATCGGAGAATGCTGCGTTGTCGCGACGGAAAGATGCATGACCTGTGTTACCGGTACGGTAGAAGGAGCGTGCAGGAGGCAAGGAGGGAGGAGGCAGAAGGTAGAGAGGAGGAAGGAAGGAGGAGGAGAAGGAGGAGAAGAGGAGGAGTAAGGGAAAATGCGACAGTAAGGAGAGATGCCGAATCTTTCCGTTTTGGCTGGACGGGGAATAGCAGCACAGAACTGTGTTACCGGTTACGATAAGAGGGAAGGCGAGGAGGAGTGAGGGAGGAGATAGAGAGGAGAGGAGAGGAGGAGGAGGAAGGAGAGGAAGAAAAAGGAGAGGAGGAGTGAGGAGGGGGCAGAGTGAGGAGGAGAAGATGGGACGGAGGAGTGCCAGCGTGCTGCGACGGGGAAAGCAAATGGCCGAAACTGTGGTACCGGTACGTAAGAGGAGTGGAGGATGGATGGACGAGGTAGGACGGAGAGAGGGAGAGAAGGGAGGAGACGGAGGAGGCAGAGAGAGGAGGAGAGGGAGAGTTATGGACGGAGGATCCGCGTGCTGGACAGAAGAGCATGCACGACTGGTGAGCCACAGTACGTAGACGGAGGAGGAAGGAGGAGGAGTAGGAAGAGGAAGAGAGGGGGAGAATGGAGGAGGAGGGAGAGGGAGGAAAAGAGAAAGTGAGGAGGAGGAAAGGAGGAGAAGGGGGATGAAGAGGAAGGATGAGGAGGGAGGAGGAGGAGAGAGGAGGATGGAGGAGGAGAATGAGAGGAGGAGAGTATTGGACGGGAGGGAGGTGCCGCCTGCTGGAACCGGGGAAAAAGCATGGCAATAACTGTTTACCGGTACTAGAGAAGGGAGAGAGGAGGAATGGAGGAGGAGAGGAGGAGGAGGAGAAGAGGGAAGGAGGGAGGAGAAAGGAAGGAGAGGAGGGAGGAGGAGGAGGAGGAGAGGAGAGGGAGAGAGAGGAGAGAGAGGAGGAAGGAGGAGAAGGAGGAAGGAGGAGGGGAAGAATGGACCGGGAGGAAGATGCCTGCGGATGGAGTGTAGAACGCATTGTCTGGAAGTACACACATGGATTTTGGTCTCGATGCGAATATATGATAACCATTGGTTAGTTTTATCGAACAACCAACTACACCATGAAACTTACCTCCATATGTTATTCTAACGGCTGTTCGCAGGTTAAGGTAAAGATTTGTTCAGATAAAAACAACGGTTTGGAGTACGTTACAGCATACATAGTGAATAACTTGTGCATTGTTAAATGTGCAGGTGCATGTACCATTTTAATAGAAACATAATAAAAAAGAGGGCCTCAAAATAAACCGTGCGGGACACCAACGGATAAAAATGGAGACAGCTTTACAGCTGATAAGACCCATTAAAAGACTGGAGTATCTAGATTAGATTAAAATAATTCATACGTAAGCTGCATGCCATCACAATAAAAACTATAAAAAAATTTACAGCTTTTAAGTAAAGAGAGTAGTGATCAAACGAGATCAAAGGCTTTTAACGAATGAAAAATCAAGTATGAGAACTCTAGATCAAAGATCTGTTTCAAAGCTGAGCCAGGATGCGAAAGTTTGTTAAATAATATGTCAAGGAGAGGTTGATAGAAAGAGCAGACTCCACAGGCAGAAGCCTTTCAAAGCCAGATTGATACTTGGATACAGAGATGAGAAGTAAGAGGAGGGTTAGGGAGAGGGAGGCGCGAAGAAAGAGGGAGAAAGAGAGAGAGAGAGGGAAAGAGAGGAGAGAGAGAGAGAGAGAGAAAGACGACAAAGAGAGGGCGAGCGAGTAAGAGACAAAGAGGACAAAGAGAGAAAGACAGAGAAAAGCGAGAGAGAGAGAGGAGAGAGAGGAAGAGAGAGTAGAGAGAAGAGAGCACAGCGAGAAGGATGAAAAAATGAATTGGAGGGACAGGGGCACAATTGTACCCACGAGCTAGTTCGCGTGCGCGGTGTGGGAGGTCATGTTGTCATTCTCCGTGTGTAAAACGCTTCCTTCCTCTCCGTGTGTAACCATTCCTTTCTTCCTTCCTCCGTCTCCGATGTGTTAAACCTTCCTATCACTTCCTTCTCCGTGTGTTAACCATTCCTTCCCTATCCTTCCTTCTCACAGTGTGTGTAACCCTTCCATTTCTTCCTTACCTTCCATTCTCCGTGTGTTAACCTTGCCTCCTCCTTCTCCCGTGGTGTTAACACTCCTTCTATCCTTCCTCCTTCTTCCCCGTGTGTTAACGAAAACTTACCTTCCTTCCTTCTCCGTGTGTAGATGCCTTCCTTCCTCCTTCGCTTCCTTCTCCTCGGTTGTGTTAAAAACGACTTCCTTTCACCTTCCTGTCCTTACCACGCTTTCTCACGTGTTTAACTGCATTCCTGATGATCAATTCCTCCTTCTCTTCATCCAAAGTGTGTAATAACCATTCCTTGCCATCCAATTATCACTACAACGTTGTAATCGAACATTAAACATTTAACTCAACTTCACTAATCCTCTTATCTCGCAGTTTTGGTGTTAACCTTCTTCCTACTTCCTTCAACTATCTCCTTCACTTCTCCGTAAGTTAACACTTCACTTCCACCTTCCTTCATCCCGTGTGTAAACACTTCCTTCCTATCCTGTCCTATTTCTCCTGTGTTAACTTCCTATTCTTCCTAATCCGTTCCACGTTGCATCTACATCTATACACGGTGTGTTAAATCTTTCTTCCTTCCCTTCCCTTCCTAATCCTTCTTCATGGTGTTTACNCCTCCCTTGCTCGCACGCACGTCTTGCGCCGACGCACCGTCGCGTTGCCGTGGCGACGGTTGACACACATTCTGCCTCCCGAAACACATCTTTGCACTTACTCGAACGTCGAGGCGGCGGCGGCGGCGGTGGCGCCACCGTGCGGCCGCCGCCGCCGCTGCCGCCTGGGGGCTGTTTGCTCGTGCTCTCACTCGCGCGACGCAATCAATTCTGGGCCAATGAGTGCATGGCTTGTCAGGCGGGCAACCCCAGGGGGAGGGAAATCGGTGGGGGCGGGCAGGATGAATGAATCACGATGTGGGGACGAGGCAGGGTGGGGGTGGGTGTAGATGGGAGGGGGTGGGGAGGTCTGTGGTTAGTTTCAGGTATTCTCGTGAAAATTCGTGAAATATTCTCGTGAAAATCGTGAAAAGAGAGAGGTTGAGGCAGGGGTCAAGGGTTTGGGTAGAGGGTGTCAGGTTGGGGCAGCGGGGGGTCTCAGGTTTAATTAGTTGGGTCTCGCGTTGAAATGGGGGGGGGGTGTCTCACGTTGAGGCAGTAGTCTCAGGTCGGGACAGGGGGTCTTGGGCTGAGACGTGGGATGGTCTTTAACTGGTGCCACACTGGCTCGTGTCGCAGTTGGCAGTCTTGCTCGTTTACCGTCGGCGTTTTTGATTTTTTGATTTTTGATTTTCTGTCGTAAACGTATCGTCGATGCCGTGTGAGATTTCGCGTAGGTGATTAAAATGCGGCACGCGGGTGGAGGAGAGGAGAGGCGAGGAGGAGGAGAGGGGAGGAGGAGGAGGAGAGGAGAGGAGGAGAGGGGAGGAGGAGGAGAGGAGGAGGAGCAGGAAGAGGAGGAGAGGGGAGGAGGAGGAGAAGGAGAGGGAGAGAGTGGACGAGGAGTGGCCGCGGATGGAGTGTAGAACGCGTTGTCTGGAAAAGTGAGCGGAGCAATGCGTCCTTAGGTCTTCGAAAATGGAGTTGATGACGATTTTGGTTTGAACACGAGACCACCACGGAACTCCTCATATTGTTATTAGAACGCTGTTCGCAGGTTAGCGTAAAAGATTTGTCTAGTAACAAACAACGGTGGAGTCGTAGCAATAAAAATGATATACTGGCATTGTTAATTGCAGGTGCATGTCATTTATAAACATAATAAAGAGGGGCCGCGCCCAAAATAGAACATGACACCAACGA